TAAAGGTCAAAATACCGGAAGTGATCAGCAAAAACTGCAAAATATGGTTTAAAATCACAGTTTTTGGTTGAATAATACTTGAACTGGAGATTCAAAGTGAAATGCGAAGTCGAACTACTTATATTAGGCAATTTTAGGCATATAAAACGGACTTAGCCGCTGACTACAAAAGCGGGAGCAAAATGTCCCATATTTCTGGTAATGTTATGGTCTTGTTCCAAAAAATGATTTTTTGGTACCATCTCAAATGAAAAGCCCGACCCCTGTCAGGCTGTTGGCCCAAGGCAAGTTGATAAAAGCAATTTTAGCACATTTTTGTTTGTGAAGGTATCCAAAATTTTTGGCCATGTGAATCTGGATAAATGAATTGTATCCCGCCGGGCAACAAGTGAACAATTTTTACCGGGTCGGAGTCGACCCAACCGACTGCGTAAATAAATGCTAAACGGAAATAGAGTCCAAAGTTTGGAAAGACTTTTTCAAGCAGTTTAAGGTATCTATATTACATATAAGGAAATGCTCATTAGGCAACAAGAAATGCTATACAAACAGTTGTGATGGTTAAAAATAATCTACATACACTGAAAAGTTTTTATTTATGGAATATAATTGTTCTTGTGAATGTTTCAGTTTTCTTCGTCGCTACATAACAAAACACAGCTTAATGTCTGTGAGACTCTCGGGAAAAAGCAGACGTTAAGTAACATTTTGAGCGAATTATACTACCCGTTAAGTATGGAACCAGCAGAAACGACAAGTATCCAAGATAAAACGTTGAATTATACCAAACAATAAAACAGCAAAAACTTTTCTCAACGCTCAACTGAACTGATCCATTTAGAAAACATTTCAGTTTTTCATTGTCTTTGCTCGCCAGCCATGCCTGACCACAAACGTGTGCAGCAGAGGTAAGAAGTAACCCTGATATACCTTATAATGGCATCACCTTAATATATGCGCACCGATGAACTTATGGTTAGATCTAGATCTCGACAACTGGACTCTGTAGCTCAGTTGGTTAGAGCGATGTATCAGAATCGCACGGCCGCAGGTTTAATTTTTACCAGAGGGCCTATCGTTGCATTTTCGCAGCTGCTCCTGGATAGGTCTTATAATTAATAAATGTATAAAAAAATTACGGTCGAAAACATAACCAACTAGCAGAGGTAAAAATATTAATATCCGTACCCTGGTCTGGCTTTCACCTCCGATGACAGATCACGGACAAACACCAACATGATTAGAGTTACAATAACCCAGACCACGCCCATAAAGAAACCAGGCGACGTTCGAAAATCAATATGCCAACTACCGATGTAGAAATTGAAATCCTTCAAAAATAAGTTCAATGCAGGTCCAATGGCCGCTCCAACGAGATTGCTGCCTTTGAGGATGGCAAAGTAACGTGTTCGTTGTTCCTTCGTCGTGACACGGGCCAACTCTCCCCACATAGCGGAGATGTACCCCTCTCCAAAACCCGCAATCATTCGACCGAACAAAGGTAATGTAACATGAAAGTGCATCGCGTACACAAAATTCCCCGCAATTTCAGCCAAATTCCAAATGAATCCGGTCAGACGAACCCTTCTCGTAGCGTCAGCTAGCTTGCCAACCAGAATAGTGGATACAATTCCTACGATATATGCACATAACACCAAGTAAAGATACCAATTGTCGACGTGGAATATTTTCAGATACAACCAAACGGAGGGAAATATTACCGCATATTCAACGCCCATGAATAACATTCGTATCGAGAATGCGAACAAGGTTAAGTTGCGTTTTGTCACAAAAGTGATGCTTTCCATATTCTTGCCGCGATTTTTGTAAGAAACACCGTAATTGATCACGTGCTGTGAAGAAGCAGTTGTCTGAAATGGAAAAGACAGTGGGTTAATAGAGAACAAAATTACAACTCGAATATCTCGGCGGAACATACAAATAATATTAAAATGCACTGAAGATGAGCTGTGATAATACTCAGCTCGAATTTATTGCAGAACTGGTCCGATAAATAAAATAGAAGACATTGTAACGTATATTTAAAGACACAAACACATATTAACACACTGATATATCTGAACAAATATTAACATAAAAAGTGCATGCAATTAATCTCTATATATAAGAGCAAGAAGTTGGGTTGTAGGAACGACACTTGGAATAATTTTACGCCTGGTTTCAAGAAGATAGTACATTTACTTCGTTACTTGACACCACTGCTGGCACTGGCTCTCAAGTTTGGCTTCAAATTTCTGGTTGAAGGTAGCGTTCCAGTTAACATAAGTAAGCGTAATACTTGATGTATCGGTCACCAAAAAGCCCCCATGTCGACAGGGAATGAGCCAAATAATTAAATGCATGTATGAACAAATTTTTCAAACACTCATTAATAATAATTCATAAGCTTATTCGCAAATCATGTCAACCATAATATGTCGCGTGCAGTAGCTTTAAACCTGATAAAACACTCCTAATTAGTATTCTTTATATAAAGAATACTAATAAGGCAGTATCTATTGTAGTCTTGTCCTCATTAGTGTTCTTTATATAAAGAATACTAATAAGGCAGTATATCTTTTGAATTTGTAGTCGTGTTTGAAGCCGTTTAATAAACTCGCAGGTCGGGTTTTCTTAGCTTTAAACCTAATAAAACACTCCTGCTCGTTTATTAAACAGTACCTCAACTATAGGTCAAATTCTGTAAAAAATATTCATTCCGTTCGCGTTGTATGAATTAAAAAAATAGGCACGCTATGCGTACATGTATCTATGCAAAGCATTGAATTGGCTCAAAGTATTAAATTTGCATTGTTGCTATGCCTATAAAAAAACTGCATTTGTAGTTGTTTATATCAATCTTATTCGTCATGATTCTCATGTCGCAAAGAATGATCAAAATCAATGAATAACTTTTTGGTAGATTACAATCTATTCTTTAAATCAACTGTTCGGTGTTTAAAAAAATTAAAGTAAAATAATCATCCGGCATTAGACAAGGCAGAATATTAAACAGAATAGAGCACATTGCGGCTTAAATTAATAATGATCGCGTTTTATAAATCAGGTAAGTTATTTTACTGTCAGGAAATGGTAAGCATATAATAAATTCCTTATTACTTACTTCATTTCCCTGGTCTGTACGAAAAAGCAATTGCCTTCGTTTTTGCATAAACCTCGCTTGCTTCTTCGTCGCTGGGTGTGTACGAAAACCGAAATTGGCTTAGATTTTTAGTTACATGAACAATTTCACCGTTGTTTGAAAAGGTTGTTTAAAACAATGGTCAATAAAAAATGAGTAATGAAAAATAGGTACCTATGTGTACATTTGTCTACAGTAAATTGCGTTTTTGGGGTGTTCCAAAATTCCGGGTATTGATTGGTTGGGTGAATTATTTTTATGCAGTTAAAATAATTTCTCTTCGGCCCCAACCCCTAGTATAACTAATGACTGGTCCCTTAGTACCTGTGGAAGATGGGGATTAAAAAGTTAATGGCTTAAATGCTTCATCTTCATTACTTAATAGATTGATAAGATGATAAAGCGCCTGACTGGTGGATAGGTTGAGTAGTGACCAGTGAACTGATAGTAACTGGTCAATTGTGAGGGGAAATATGGAGGTTGGATCTTGCTTTAAATAATTCAGTGCATTGTATTTGGGGAATCCCTCTAGCTTTCATGACACTTGATACAATTTTATGCTTCAGTAACCACAATTAATTAACATTAATTAACAAAAGTTATATGATTATAAAGCAGAAAGTTATCATCAATAAAATGATCAATACCCTTACTTAAAATTTCATGGGGGCATGCCCTGTACCTCCTAGAAAGTCCCACCTTTGGCATACATTGTCTTGGAATCCTAGAGCTTCTTTTACACTCCACTTTAGCATTCTCGATCAGCGCATTTCACTTTCAGCTATGTAATGTATTAAGACTATTTTGTATTTTCAATTCAAGATATACATTACAAATACAATCAACAAAGTATACATTACAAATATAATATCAAAAACTATTTTTCAAGTTTGAGTTCAAATGTTGTTACTTTCCAGCATAATAGTTAACACCACAATCCATTCCTGGTCAAAACCCTTGACACATTTATACACATTGTCAGTATTGAGTATGACTTTCCCCACAACAACAACTATATTTCTCCCCTCTTTAAATAGCCCATACAATGTTGTCCTTTATAGTTTTAGTGCAACTGCCTTGCAAGTAGTCACTCAACATTCTTTCACCTCGGGAAACTTTAAGTAAGACCAGTAAAGCACAGCCAGTGTGTTATAAAAAACTGGTTATTATACGAATGTGAATCACACTCATCACAGCATTTCAAATTTATTTTAAATCATATATACAAACACAGTACATTTTCATTGTATTGTTGTTTGTGATGACAGATGTTAATAATAGCGATGTACTATTATTAATTGTATATTTGTACACAAATTACTGATATAAATAAATAGAAGCAGCCATTTTGTTTTTATTTTAGGCTGCCTGTTCGCAGGCATGTATTTAAGGCGGACGCGACCTGAGTGTTTAACCCACAAACAACGCGATAGCATTCATAGCAATGTATCTATGCTTCGCATAGATACAAAAATATTTGACCCAAAATCCTGCTTTAAGCCTGAGTGGGATCTCATTTGGCTTGAAGGTTTACTGTTTCAGACATGCAGATGAACACACAATGACTTTTATCTATAAAAGTTATCGCGAGGACAGTAGCATTGTGCGTGGCCACGCAGGTGAGTGCCAGGGTGCACACATATTATTAAAGTACGCCGAGAAGGTTCCTTCAGCAAAATTCCAAAACCAAACAAAGCAATAAACGGGTGGGCGCTTCCCTCTCTCATTATCAATAAATTAAGCGACAGATTATGACAAGCATATACAGCTATTTCAATTAAGGTTGTCCACGAGCAAAGCGGAAAAGTCGAATACGAGCGCGAAAGGCTGCTGGGAACCGCTTTGAAAACTCATTAATTTGTTAGCGATTCCCAGCAGCCTTTCGCGCTCGTATTCGACTTTTCCGCTTTGCTCGTGGACAACCTTAATTGAAATAGCTGTATACACCTTGAGATTATAATATCAACTTCCCGTTTCAGTTTGCATATTATAATTTAAGACCTCATTTAATAAACACAGATGAAAACCGCTGCTACCAACACTGGCAATACATTCGAGAACACTGAAGTAAAGGGCCTTAGCTTCGCTCGAAACGTCAAAGTTTTACTTGTATGTTTCAAGTAGTTGAATCTCTATCCATCTGCAATTTTGTCATTCGAGAACAATAAGTGATGAATATAAACTTAACAATTATGACATTGGCCGTATTCATATTAAGGGTTTGTTTATATGGAGGCGAGTTTACGCGACAAGGCGAGTTACTCGCCCAGAGTCCCAGACATGACAAACAAATGCTCTGTTTACATGGAATTAATTTCGAGTTACACACGTAAAAACGCACAAGTTGTTACAAGTCTGCAAACAAGTTGTTACAAGCTTGATGGCATTATCAGACTTATAGCAAAGTTGTTCTAACAAGTCTGATACAGTCATGATGTAACAAGAATGTTACAAGGTTGATGACACAAGATTGTAACAATATTGTTATATCATGACTATCGATCGGTCTTGTTGGAACAACGTACCTTGCAACTAGTCTGATAATAATAATAATAATAATAATAATAGTATCAACAAGGTTGTTACCAGTTGTTAACAGTTCGTTCCAAACTTGTTGACAACTTGGGACAAGCAGTGCGAAGACAACTTGTTGGCAGACTAGCTACAAGATGTGAGACTTTTGCGGGTGTACTCGGCACTGATTTGCTGCATGATTGCCGCATGACGCCGAAATGGCGCCAAAACACAATTTAGGTCGTTTGAAACGTTAAAAAAAAACATTACAAAATGTCGTCAAAATACAAGAATAAGCGCCGAGAAATTCAGGAAAACTTATCTATCGATTCGTATGTATTTTTGAGCTATTATTCTTTAAATGCAAAGCCGGCAGATACATACTATTTCGAGCGGCCGAGTTACCTGGGCAAAGTGTTTACATCGTAAAATATTCATCTCGCCTACACACATAAAAATCCCAGGCACAATTTGTCAACAAAATGTATTCGCAACAGGCTTGTAGCAGGACATGTGGCAGGGTATGAATTGCAGGACGATAACAAGTTGTTGGAACAACTTGTAACAAGTCTGTTGCGTTTAACAACCTTGTAGCAAGTTGTCAACAAGCCGTTGACAACTTGTCAACAAGCTGGGAACAAGCAGTGCGAAACACATCCTGTTGACAAGTTGTTGGAACAGCATTGCCACAAGTATGCTGCAGTATGGTACAACTTGTGCGTTTTTACGCGTGTAGGCGATATCCCGCCTCTTTCTGCCGGGAACTCACTAAGGCGAGTTACTCGGCTGCATGATGTAAACAGTCACCCGGGATTACTATAAGTTTCTATAATAGCCGGTATCTCGCCGTGGCCCAGAACTAGTCCCCTTGCGGGGTAACTAACACAGGCCCTAAGTTGTTTAGAGAGTTTGTTTGATAGTTTAAGCAAGACAACCAAGTATGAAGACGTATTTTGACAATTTTTTGGAGTCGGCCATGCATGGTTGTTCAACAAAGACAGGTTATAGATTCATGTCTAGCAGTTTATGAATGCTGACCCTAATTCTTACCCTGACCCTGCAAGCAAAAAAAACAGCGAGAGCTGAAAGCATATCCCGTCTTCGTTCGGCCACCTTCGTCAGTTCAGAACGACTATTTTGGCAAAATTGGTCGGTGAATTTCGTTCTGAACGATGGCAGTAGAGTAAAGCTAGAAAGTTTATAGTCTGCGCACAGACTGTCTCTTCCCCCCCGTGGTGGAAGGATTACAGTCTGCGACCATTTGTCACTAATGCTGTACAGTGACGTAGACTTATAAATAGATATAATATTGTGCACTTCAGCACTTTAATGGCTTTCTAATTTTATTATCCAATCAGGTGCGTTACTTTAAATAAAACTTATATTATGTAAACAAGGTCAATAGACAATAGACAAGGTCAAGCAAAACAATACAACGAAATCGAAATATAAACTCGCAAAAAATATGCCAGTTTTGTAAATTCTACCAAATTTATTCATCCCAAAAGATTAAATGCTCTTTTGTGTGGTAATGTCTTTCCTAACAGCACCCAGAAACTTTATGTAATCGGTAAAACCGGTATACTTGTCTCGAAATTAGCTAAGCAAATTTATGCAAGCATAATTTTGAAACGAACCAATGAAAAACTGCCGATCATATTTCGTCGGTAGCTGTACGGCATTAGCGTCGAATGACAGCAGACTGTAATCCCGCGCGGGAGCGGGATGGGTGTAGATAAAAGGCGGACGGATAAAAAGCGGACGGCGGACCGCGGACGGCGGACCGCGGACGGCGGACGGCGGACCGCGGACGGCGGACGGCGGACGACGGACGGCGGACGACGGACGGCGGAGCATTTTAGATACACATGATTACTACGGCAACTAATTATAATACCCTAAATTAAAGTATACCAGCCTTAGATCTGTGAAATGGATATGTTTTCACCCGTTCGAATTTTTAGCAATGGAATTTTTTAATCAGCTTTCAATACGTATGTATGATAGGAGGAACTAGGTGAAACTTTTGGAAATTTTGGTGCTTCTGTATATAACTGCCCTAACAGTGCCATTGAATTAAAATATTATTAGGCGGGGCTATTACATGACATTTACTTGCTGTCATATTTATACTTTAAATTGTGCGACTTATAATCCCGTTTTATTTACTAAAAGGCTAACATGTAGCCAAGGTCCATTTATGTGAGTGCTTACACATTACTATTTCACTGCATATAAATGTAGAACGAAATTATAACCTTCCCTAAGCCCTAGCTTCAAATATACATATAATAGAATATACAATATTTACGCTGCCCAACTTACGTTGCCCAAGTTGACATTACACACATATACATTTTTCAAACAGCTTGTTACACTGATTAATGTGTGACATATATATATATATATATATATATATATATATATATATATATATATATATATTTATTTATATATATATATATATATATATATATATATATATATATATATATATATATATATATATATATATATATATTTATATATATAATATATATTATAACAAATCATATTTACATGAATATGTCAGGAAAATATCAATAACTCAATATAGTTAAAGAAATGACAAAAAATATACAATTGTAAATATATACAATTGTGAATGTTTGCATGTCCAAACTTTATAAAAAAATTTCTTAAATCACGACCCATAGCCTATACTCAATACCTACTACCTATATGTGCCCACGAAATAAAAAAAATGTTCAAGAGCCTTGAACGGCAGAAAAATATCGAGCAGCATTGGGAGGTTTAAAAAGTTATTGGGCTCAATGAAAATCCACCTCATCAAATTGTCCGCCCCTAATGCATATTATTATATGGCTTTTCAAAATTCTCTGTTCTGATTGGTTGACAAGCGTTCCGTAAAAACCCATATCCGGACCGTGGTCCGTATTTTCCGTATGTGGACCGGTGTCCCGGATGTCGTTTATCTGGCGGGAAATTTTTGCTTTGGAAACAGAAAAAATTTTTACTTTTCAAAACTTGCAATTGTGCTTTACAGATAAAAATTTCAAATAACCAAATTGTTTTTGATTGAGCATGCATGCCTACGGTATATATTGTTACCCAGTGAAACTAACGATAGCCGATTTAATTCGCGCGAAAAGCATATGCTCACAGACTCAGTTCAGCCATATAATAAACCGATTATTGACCTCGCTTGTTCGGTCTGTACTGTGATCCATACCATACCATACCATACCATACCATACATACCATACAAAACTGTACTACATACCATAAAAAAACCTCGGTCTGGTATTTCACACCTCACGCTCGGTCAATAACCCTTTAATAATTTTAAAATTCATATATAGTATAGCCGTCGCATGCAAATCGGCCATTTCTTCGTGTGAACCTCTTAGGTTTATAATTAAAACGGGAATTATTTTCATTAAAAAGCAACAAGTCAGCACTATTTAAAGTACGAAAATGTTAGCAAGTGAAAATGTCATTTAACTCTGCCTAACAGAAGCTCCAAAACTAAGGCGCTTTTTTACAATATTTCCAAACGTTTCCCGAGAAAGACGCCGTATAGCCATCATACATACGTAATGAATCATTTGAATGCTGATTAAAAAATTCCATTGCTAAAAATTCGAACAGGTGAAAACATATTCATTTCACAGATTTAAGGTAATTTAGGGTATTATAATTAGTTGCGGTAGAAATCATGCGTTTATAAAATGCTCCGCTGTCCGCCGTCCACGGTCCGCCGTCCGCCGTCCGCGGTCCGCCGTCCGCGGTCCGCGGTCCGCCGTCCGCGGTCCGCGGTCCGCGGTCCGCCGTCCGCCGTCCGCGGTCCGCCGTCCGCGGTCCGCCGTCCGCGGTCCGCCGTCCGTCCGCCTTTTATCTACACCTAGCCTGCGAACAGGCTCTCAAGCTGAATTGAGAGCCTGCATCGATGACTAATGAATTTGAATATCTGCCCCGTAACGTTCGTTTTTCCAAATATGGAATGTCTATCCTTATATGGTGTTGTTTACAACTTTCGTGCAAACTAAATTTAGACCGTGGAAACTAAATTTAGACCGTACAGTTTATACTGTTTTTCGAAATATAAGATATTCAAGCAAAAGTTCAAATGTTTTAAATACTGTTTTCTCAAAACAGAACATTTCGTGCTTTGAGATAAGACGGCCAAGACCAGTTTGATCAGTTAATGTGTTTTTTATGCATAGTGCTTCAGCAGTTGACATATATAGAGCTCAGCGGAAACATATAAATTATAGCATCCGACCAATGAGAATTTCGCGTCACGATTTGAGACGCAGATATTCAAATTCATTAGTCATCGATGCAGGCTCTCAATTCAGCTTGAGAGCCTGTTCGCAGGCTAATCTACACCCGGAGCGGGATGCAGTCTGCGAGCAGACTAGAAAGTTTAGGCCTTCGCTCGAAACTCGTCGAAATTTTCCAGTTATATTTTTTCAGGTACTTGCATCCCTACCAAAGAAAGCTTGTCCATAGATTGTAAACGTAGCTTAAACGGGTTTAAAGACATTAAAAATGTACTGCTTGGTAAAACCCATAGATATCTTATATATAAGATATCTATGATAAAACCATGTGCCTATTACTAGCTGTACGTGGCTTTTACTTCAGAGGAATAATACTTCAATTTTTAGAAACTTCGATGCATGCAAGAAATCAGGTTGATCACCAATATACATTAAAGACTGATATCGACATGAGCTGTTGAGTTCCGCCAGCAATAACGTCAATATTTTAAGCTGAATAATATACTTCCCCGCCTCCATGTACAACATAGGCTCAGATTCCAGCCGTTGTGTTCTCGCTTAAGTGGGCGAGTGGCGAGAACACAACGGCTAGAATCTGAGCCTATGTACAACAGTGATGGGGTAATTATTTTGAAAGTCAAAAATAATGCTCGCATGAGTGATAATGCCCGCATGAGTCATGCATCTCCCGTTCTCGTTCGACCGGGGCATATTAATTGATGAAGCTCTCAGTAAAAGAAGGTGTCAGTAAATTAACACAGGATTATGTAAAGGACCATGTGATCCATGAGAGGGAAATTTGCTAATCACATAAATGCATGAAATCGCGCTAAAAATATAGACTTTGAAACCCGCGTGATTGCCAAGTCTAATTGGCATTAAAGTGCAGTCTAACAATATCTTACGGATTTACGCCCGTATGCTAAAAGCTCACTCACACTCAATGAGTGTAGGTTCAATCTGAGCTTCTCTTGAGTGTCAATGCTGTTTTTGAATAGCTGGAGGGTGAGTAGTCACATAGTAAGGTACGACACTAACCCTCCAGCTATTCAGAAACAGCGTTGACGCTCAAGAGAAGCTCAGATTGAACCTACACTCATTGAGTGTGAGTGAGCTTTTAGCATACGGGTGTTAGTATCTTGTGGACTATAGTCTAATTGTGGTAAATGCATGTGGACTAGTCTAATTGTGGTAAATTTTGGAATACGGTCTTGAGTTAATTATATACCTCTATTCCGATGTATGGCTACCGAATGCATAATTTGGATAACTTTAGTTTGTGCATTTTATACAATAAAATATGTACTAACTTGCTGTGTTAACTGTAAATATTATACGTCGAAACTTTTGAACTGTCAGTCGGTTGGCCTGTCACGTTCTTTCGATTCAGTTTAACCAAAATCGAGAGTCTAATTCGATGCCGTTTATTTTCAACGTAAAGCTTTCAATTATGAAAGGTTTGACTCTGCAGTTGCATCAAGTGGATTTACTACATTCACCTGTAAGACCCGTACAAGAATGATATCTGGAGCTACCAAAACAGTTTCGACAGTTTCTCGACGAACACTATAGCGGCGGTGTTATAGTACTTTCGAGTTCCAATAGCCAAACAATATTACCTGACCTTGATTATGATTACGGTGCATTGGAAACACATAGATCTGCTGAAATCATGTAAATTCATCATTCTAACCATCATACTAGTTATGTGAATAAAACGTACTTCACGCAACATTCGGATAAGAATCAGTGAAGACATTTTAATCCTTTCACTCTCCCTTAATCGTAGCGTTCCTAACGCCACCATCTTCTTACCTTATAACTCGGGGAAATGGGGAAACAGTTATTGTTTAATTAAAACCTTCTTTTCGTTACGGAATACAGAGGCATACACACTACATAAAAAGCTGCATTTTAACGAATAAAATCAAGAATACTTTCACTTTGACATGTTTAAATTTTATACCACAGACAGTATGCTACAAAGTTAGCTGAAGCGTAGGATTACAATATATTGGCTTTTACAAATCTATCTATCTATGACTGACAAATCCGTCTGCTTACCTTCGGCTTCGCTTTGGAGGAAGGAATATATAACTTCGAACCGTCTTCCTGTTATGATTAGGCTAGCAAAATTTTAACCACTGTCTCACAAGACTTAAATGATATAATTACTTTATCCTTATCGCACTAGTACTAGTCGAATTTTAAATCGAGGAAAATATTTTACATGAATTAACGTGTTATGAATATATCCTTACTAATTATGCGTTGTGTGTTGTATCACAGCATGAAATTTATAAACAAGGTTGTACCGGCAGTAAATCGTAATTCCGCATAACAAATATTGAGTATTTTCGTCAGCGAAAGGACATCGGGCTTGAAACCAGTGGCGTGCTGGCAGGGGAGGGCAGGGGGCCACGGCCCCCCCAGCTGGCAATTCTTGGGGGCGCAAAAATGAAAATGGGGCGCCGAATTTTGAAAGTGGTTGGGAAAAAACGCATTCTCGAAAAAATATGGTTACTTCCTCCAAGAAAAGACGTGTTTATAGGCTACAGTATAAAACAAACTAAGCGCATAGGCGACATATATTAAATTACAGACTATTTTGCCTAACCGTATTTGCTAATTTGCTACCTCACAGCTCACACGAAATCGTTCATATAGAAACATGATCAGTGATCACAGGCAATGTCTCATTACCGGAATATTGGTCAGGTTTCGATCGAAGCGATCACAGGAATTCTGCCCTTTTTTGCTGGTATAATGCCCATATATTATGCCCTTTATTATGCTTCACGAATCACGAGAGCGGCGCAAATTAGATAGTTGAAGTTATGATAACTGATGTAAAGTTGTGTACGCAATTTAGTTGTTTGCGCAAGAAGCATGAGTAATGTAAGTAATGAAATAATGCTGAAACACGCCCGTTTGGCAGCCAGGCAAGGAAACCTTAAAATGCATATGCGTGGGGTCCGTGTGTTATTGTATAAAAGAGCTGTAAGTTGTAAATAGTACTCAGAACACTAGATCAGTACAGAATAGAATTGGGGTTAGATTAATCGCTGGAAGTAGTTAGCATTGCATAATTTAAGTACTACAACTAAATTCTAACCAAATTGCAAATTTCGACACGTTGTAATGCCGTTTCCTGACCATCAGATTTCTGTCAAATCTTCCCCCAAAGTCCAGGAAATGGCATCTCAGAGACTCTAAATTCAAATATCTTCCTGGGGGCATGCCCCTAGACAAGCCTTGCACCCGCGGCACTCAGCTCGTGCCTTCGGCCCTCGTTTATCAAGCGTAACATTATAGGGGCGCATATTGGTTGACAGCCCACTGGGCCCTCCAGAAAAATAGTACCCAGCACGCCACTGCTCCCCAACAGCTTTGTAGCAAGCTTGTTAACAAGTGGTGACAATGCCGTTCCAACCACCACAAGATTTTTCGCATGAGGTTTGTAGCAAGCTTGTTAACAAGTTGTGACAATGCTGTTCCAGCAACTTGTCAACAAGATGTATCTGCAATAGGTTTCTAGGAAGCTGGTTAACAAGTTCTG